TCGATGTGTGATTTTTTTGTGCGAAAATTTTGTAGCAATTTTTTTCTCACTAAATTCATATTTTCGATAAGTGTTATTTTGCTAAAAAATAGAAATGGAATGTTTGATCGAAATTTCAATGGTATTTGAATATTGCCAAACTAATCCAGCACTTTATCATAATTGAACTAAAATGTGAAAGATAAGATTTAATAAAAAAATAGGCAAAAAAAAAACCGATTCATAAGAAATCTTCAAATAAAAATTCTATTTGCATTTCACATAATTTTTTCATCTACTAATAAAAATGACTCATATGAGCCATTTTTATTAGTAGGTGAAAAAATTCTGCTAAAAACTATCTCATAAGAATCTCTTGGCATTTGTTAATCATTCTCGGCCCAAAGATATTGTAACTAAAAAAAGCATACTTGATGTCCCGATTTGTTGAATTTTTGCTCATACATAATTGGCTTAGGCTCATTAATCAGTCCCTTTTCATTCTATTTTGCTGAATTCTCTTAAATCTTTCGTCTCTTTTTCCATATTTCATCATATGTGGATAATTTTGGTTTGCTCTTCATTTTAGCTAATTCCATCATTGCCCCTCCTTACCTTTACACTTTCCCTTTGTACCTTTTCATCTACCGCCACAAATGCCCAATGAATTCTTCTTCACGCATTCTTCTTGTCATTATAAAACACAAATCAAACCATCGATATTTGGCATGAAGTTGTTTAGGAATAATTTATTTTGCCAAAACTTTTTTTTTCTCCAAAACTCAACAATCCATGTGCATTTCCACTTTATTCCAAATTATAAAATGCTTCATTTCAATGATCTCTCTTATCCACTATTCTTTTAGAATTAATTATTAAATGAAATGAGAAAATTGACTGGTTTTATCTCAAAAGCACAATCATATAAAACTATTCTGGCTAATTCATCTCACTGATAGGATATATTATCGATTAACTGACTGTAATCAATGAAGGATAATGATAAAATACAAAACTGGTGATAATATATCAAAGGGGAAAAGCACAAAATAAAACTGCAGTGAAAATTGGCAGATTCACAATTATACGAATAAACATAAGTATAAATATAAACATAAATTAATTCAATATATATATATATATATACACACTCACTTTTTTTGATTTGCAAATTTCTAAAATTCACATTTTCAATTTCATTCGTGTTATCAATCAACAATATTGAAAGTGATGAAACTGCAATTATCCATATTATGATTCATATCTTGAAATGCAAATCTAATAAATCATTGGATACTAAATTATTTGCCATAGTCTGTTTCAACCAAATGAGCCTTTTCCCTTTTTCACAAATCTTCCAACATTCATCATATTTTTTTTCAAACTTGATTCAGAAGTGATACATGACATGAATGCTTATCAGCAATGTCAGTATCAATATCATTTTTGTCATCCATAAATAAAGATAACTATTTACGTAATTCTTCAAAATAATTTCTATTACGGTTTACATTTTCCGTATCATATGATGTGTGTTGTTTTCTGAGCATAATTATATGATGATAGCATGAAAATGAAATAGAAAATTCTTTCGGAATGATTTTTTCAAGCATTATTTCTGGACATAATCCTACAATATAGAAAAATTTTATTGTGAAGTAGAGAAAATATCCGCAGCATTGAAATTCATATCAATATTCATTATTGAGAAAAAAATTAAAAGAAAAATTATCCACCTAAAAAAAATCATTACGGAATGATTACTCCGGTAAATTAGCAAGCCTCTCGATTAACTTTTCGTAAATAGCCACACCATTTAAAAAACATTCCTCGGTAATGTATTCATTGTAAGCATGAAGTAATATAGGAAGTTTATTGATTGGACTAAAACCGATCGATCGTATTCCTTCCTGAAAAGGTAATAAATTATTCGCAGATTATGTACATGTACTTTTTTGTTAAGATAAACTTACTGACAAAATCCAACATTCTCTTACTAAGGCAAAAAGACAAATTAACGTAAAAACTATAAGCTGTTAATAAAGTAATGCTCAAATTTTAAATAAATCAGATAGAAAGAGAGAAACAATAAAATTAGTAAACCTGTCTCAGAAAACGTGAATCGGTTGATCCCGGAAAGATATCCACTGATATCGGATAATTTCTCAACAAAAAATTATTGAAATGAGTAGGAAAAAATTTATGAAGCATTCGCAATTACTTGTTTTAATGGACAATTAGAAATAATCCTATAGCATTACATTATATCATTTGAATGATCAAATCACAAAACATACAACTGTTTGAAAACTGACGAGAATGCATGCCACCATGGGTCATCATCTGTTGTTGGAGTCACAGCCTTGATTCTTGTATTCTGAAGTTATACGAATTAGAAATAAAAAATTGAAAAGAAACATTAATAAACCATCAAAATATTAAAGCATTCATATTAAGTAAATATTTATAATATACTTTTATAAAGCTGTATGTCACATCACTGCCTGCATCCGTGCACCATTTACTGATTTGATTTTCTAGTTCCTGCAAAACAAGTTTAGTAACAACATTAAATGGTTTGTTACTCACATCGATAATAACTGACAACAGTAACCAGATCTTCGCATTTCAATCAAACTTTAAATGATGCAAAATTTTGAATCGCTAAAATTACTGCTGTCTCAACCTCAAAGTTGTGCATTGGTGGTATCCGAATATCGAACCCTAAAATTAAGACCAATAATAATTTCATGCATTGAAACGAAGATACATTATTAGTGACAGACAATCATTAATTACCTAATCAACAATAAATCACAGAGATAATTAGACATTTGGCATACTATGATTTCTGTTTACAGGAAAATATACAAATAGTTCCTGTTGCATTTATCAGTTACATGATCTATTAGGCTCAAAAAATTGATAACTGCATGTACGAATTTAAAATGAAACTTACATACTTTAATCTCAGTCGGTATCACATTCAGTTGAACTCCACCCTGAAATTTTTTAGCAATTTTTCCTTCGAAAATTTTTCTTCAAGTAATTTTTTTCACATTAATTCATTACAGGATCACATTTGTAAAGAAATGCGTTCTATAAACTAAAATCAATGGATTACAATAGAAATACTCATCATCCCTTATCATACTTAATCTTTATGAAAAAAATTATTATTTACCATACGACACTCTTGATGACTGCAGTTAAATGATAAAAATTATCATGGAAGTACCTCAATCTTTGTTAAATTGACAGAGATCACATCAGATAGCGTCAGATGGCTATTCAATTGAAGGAGCTTTTTTTGTTCTTCCCTGAACTTCATAAAACTGTTGATTATTCTCTGCTAAAGAAATATACCTTATATGTATGACTAAAAACACCATATTGAGAAAATTATGCATATAATTATACCATGTAAAATAATACTTTTGTTAATATTACTTCAAGAAATCTCTTATATCATATGATAAATTAAATTCTTCGAGAAAACAAAAAAAAGTATTCAGAAAGTTTGTTAATAATTAAAAGTGAAAGCTAAACATTTTACCAATTTTTCACTCGCAGTATTTTCGATCAGTTGCAATCCATGTCCCGCGCTACCCTTGCAGCTTATAACAATCCCTGCAAAAAAAGAAATATTTTAAATTTCCTACACATTATAGTTTTTCATTGCAAATATGAATTGTAAACCAACGATTGTTTGTAAAATATTCCCATTTAAAAATACTTTTTAAAAAAAAATATGAGGAAAATGTACACCATGGACATCTTTCGGCATAATATACTTTATAGCATTCCTCTTCCGTTGGTAATCCTTCATCCAAAACAAAGGCAACATTTAATTTGATAAATGTTTTACTTTTTACAAATTTCTCCATTCCATCTTTACTACCTATTTCTTCATCTGAAATTATTCACTTGTGTACAATGTAAATTCATAGCTGAGCTATAAAAAAAACAATTATGATATATATAGCGAGCAATAGCAAACAGCTTTTTCAACATTTTTTTTTGTAGTTAGCTTAATGAAAGATCTATCTATAATTAATATCATAATCGTTTTTTTTTTTGTATGAGAAGAATGGATGAAAGATGATATTTGGAAACAATATCAGATTTCAAAGTTTGTTCCTCTCATCCAAAAATTATAGAAATAGCTATTTTTATAATTTTTGGATGAGAGGAACAAATTCATGAAATTGACAAAATATAATACAATATGAGGCGTATCAAATTTGTTAAGGTAAATATAGAAGTAAGCACAGTAAACTAATTTATAATTTTATTATGTCTACAGCAAACCATAATATCCGCCACTACATTGTATGTTAAAAGTGATAATTGTAAGGCGTTTGGCATATATTAACATATGATATGATATTAACATATGATAAATATGATATTAACATATGATAAATATGATATTAACATATGACAGATATGGTATACGATGTGATTTGGGTATTAGCATATATGAAAGAATACTTCTCTTTTTTCTAAGGAAAATGAGAAAAAATTAAATGAACATAACAACTGAGAATTGTCAAGAAGTTGAGAATGAAAGCAAACCTGGGCCCCATACAATATGTATTGTTCGTAGAAAGTCTTTTTGGCCATTTTTAAATAAGCTTCGTATTGCTTCAATGTACTGAATACCAACAGATTTCATATCTTGTGTCCCACGACCATAAATTTTCCCATCTGTATCTTTTATTCCATCAAACGGATCAAATTTCCAGTATTCCTGTAATAAGATCCAAAATCAAAAGTGGCTTTTTTTAAAGCGAGAATTGAAATCATTGAATTAAAATGTTTTCAAAAACTTTTATATATTATCAATTTTTTTTCTTGTGAAAAAAAAAAACCTTATTAGGTGTAGGGACAACATCCGTATGTGAATAAAGCATTAAGGATGGAAGTGATTCATTACGTCCACGTAACGTCATAATAATAAACGGCTTACCCGGTACACACTAAAAATACATTTATGTAATCTCGAAATTGCTGTTTCTCATTACTAAATTGATTAATTAATTAATTAATCGACGAATGGAAAACA